TGCACAGAATCATACCCAGAGCGAAGAGCGCAAAGCAGTGCTAATCCGAGTCTTTACACTGAGAAGAAAACAGACAGCGGAATGCAACCCAAAGAACGCAACAAAAAGATGAATAATAGAATTTGATAATTCCTGTCCCTCCACACACACACAAGCACCCACACACAAACACTCTACTCACAATTACTGTTCGCTTACATTCTGAAGCATTGATAGCAAACGGCTTCATTAATCCAGAAAAACACATTGATTGTATTACATTGTATTGAATTACACTGATTGCTTACATTTGTTCACATTCATTCAGCACTATGTATATATACAGTCTCGTGTCTACCCCCCTCCTCTTACTATGTCCCCTGTTTTGCACTTTTTTAATTATTGTGAACCCCTCTTTTAGTCACTTGCTGTCTGTATGTCACACTCTGATCGTGGGGGAATATTATCTTGTGCCACTGTGACAATAAAGCCCCTTTGACTTGACATGACTCTAAATTACATGCAACTCTGACTGTATTTATATACGTATGATTCAGATTGCAACAGAATTAAATGGACTTCAGAGATCGCTCTCCAAATCGAAGCCTGCTCCAATTAATGGCACCCATCCCTAACTGTCCGTGTTTGCCCCGGCGATGCAGAAATGAGTCCATCTAGCCTGGGGTACGAGGCTGCGGCGGCTGATTCTGAGTCAATGGCAGCTATATTTGGACTGTGGCTAAAGCCATAGCGGGAAGGCAGCAGTTGGGCGAGCCGGCTTACTTTGGCCTACTTTGTGTCCGAGTGGCGATCCGGCCACGGGAGGCTAAATTACTGGCGCATGCTGCTCCTTATCCCCGACGACACTCTCTGGCTAGAGATCTCATTTTCAGTCAGCATTTAGAAACGGCAGATTCACTGCGACAATGAGGACAGGTAACACGATTACAAACATCGTGTGATGTCAGAGGCTGGTGCCGCCTTCGGGGCTCATTCTCCTGCCATCCATCCATGTTCCAATCCTGGTCAGAATCAGAATCAGGTTCTTTGGCTAAGTATGTTCACACATACAGGGAGTTTATCTCTACCTGTCAATGGCTCTCATACATACAGAAATGATGCAGATGTTTCTTCCCACAATTCAATGTTTATTAGCAATTAACAGCAGCTCACAAATCACCATGGCACCCTACTCAACTCCTGTGAACATTTTCAGTCTTATTATAGGGAACAGAATTAACAGAAATATCACCACCAATCATCACGTTCCAGAAGTAATGCAGGATACTACAAAGACAATATTCATACAGTTCGGCTGATACACGATGTGCATGTTTGGTTAATAAATGTATAAAAAGTGCAGCAATGCATGTCAGGGTGTGGAATGTGAGATTAAATACAATATGTGCAATATGTACTAAATGATGCAATAAATACATTGATTTATTTACATCAGTGGGGTAATGGGGGGGTGAGTGTAACTGAGGGATACCAGCAGTGGAATAACAACTGTACACTGGGCCCTGGGGAAAAAAATGACCATGCCGCTTCCTGGAAATATTGTAACCATCATGCATTGCAGTAGTTAACAAACTCCACAAACATGCTTTTTTCATTAAATACATGCCTCAACAACATAGTTTAACTACAAAACATTACAAATGATTACATTTCAAAATTGTTTTAAGTATTGTACCTAATATTTTTTGTGTTATGACTCCCACCATAATGAGATTATATAGATAAAAAACAGAAATATATCAAAGTAGCATATCATGAGGTCATAGAGTATGCATGACATTAGTGTCTTAATTTTCACTAATGTTGCACATACTTGTGAGACAGAGGAGACTGAGCCCTACCAGTCTCCCCCTTGGTAACAGGGGGGTAATGTGGGATTGACACAGGTGTGGGGCTATCCCAGACAGAATAGGTCGTAAGGCAGGGGAACAGCCTGGAAAGGATTGTTAGTATTAAAAGTAACCTTACCCCATGTGTTTCTAGAATATGATTTTTCTGTCTTCAAAACACCTGGCAGATATAGAGCTGTAAATGTTTAACAGTAATGCTGGATGTGAAATAAACATCTAACACTTCTTCATATATTATTATCAAAATAAGCAACTGCTGCTATAGTAAAGTAACAGCTTATTGAATCCACTTATGAAGTCTGAAGTGAGAAATCATTTAAGTATCTCAATAAAAAGAATTACGTCAACATATGAAAACTATAACTGGATAATAATTTGAGCGCAGTCCTGTGCATGACATTAAGCTTTTGTAATTTGGCTGCGAACTGAACACTGAGAGTCAGTTTTATAGTCATGTGCAAATGTAATTCTTTAATGAAAGTGGCAGCGATATTAAAAAAAACTTAACATAATAACAGAGAGATCATTTTAAAGTCATTTATGTTACTGAGAGCACTGCAGAAAAAGTCAATATATATTGATCACCAGTGACATACAATGTGTCCCTTACTGCCATAGTTAAGTCCAATACTTCTTCCTTTTTTGTGCTGCTGGAGTGTGTCTATAGTAGGGGTCCCCAACTCCGGTCCTGGAGAGCTAATATCCAGTAGGTTTTCTATCCTACCTTGCTTCTGATGAGTCACACCTGCTCCTGGCATTTACCTGAGAATAGGTGTGGTTCAACAGAAGCCTGGTAGGACAGCAAACCTACTGGACCGTGTCTCTCCAGGACCGGAGTTGGAGACCACACAGTCTTCCAGGACTAATTATGCCTGCTGATGACCTTTTATATTTATGCAGGCTGCTTGGCCTTCACTGGCTCCTAGGGCACAGGTGTGGTTTCAAAAATCAGCCCTGAACCACCCCAGCCCCCTAAACACCCATGGTACCCCGACAATATTGGTAGTACCATATCGCTACTATTGTATGTGCCAAGAGCCAGTTTTGGCAGCAGGGAATCGGTCCGCCGAGGCCCCTGCCTTCGACCGTCACCCGATCTCCATTGCACCCGCCCCCACGGCTCCCCCTGCAGGTGGTGGGCTCACAGGAGGGCGGACCCATGTTACTTCTTTGGGCTACGCCCGGCTGGGCATCGAAAGGAGCCAGCAGAGGTGGTTTGGGCATCTATCTAGGATGCCTCCTGGACGGCTCCCTGGGGAGGTGTTTCAGGCATGTCCAACCAGGAGGAGACCCTGGGGCAGACCCAGGACACGCTGGAGAGATTATATCTCTCAGTTGGCCTGGGAACACCCTGGTATTTCCTGGTGGAGCTGGAGGAGGTGGCTGGGGAGAGGGAGGTCTGGGCGTCCCTGCTTAAACTGCTACCTCCGCGACCCTACTCCGGATAAGTGGCAGAAAATGGATGGGTGTATGGATGGATGGATGTCTCTGCCATCCATATCCAAATCTACATCCTTGTCTGGCTCCTAGAGTTATCTAAAGATAAGATTTTCTTCTGGAGGATATATATGAAAAGAGAAAAGAGAGCCTCTGTTTTTCTGTTCTACTCTTTCCCACTGAGAGGGACATTACCTATAACATCAGAATGTCCCTGAACCACAAACACTGGTTTCACTTCCTCTGGAGGAAGAGTATAGTTCTACACCGCTCGTCTGTTTGCTGTTTGCTTGACTTCCTTATTTAGTAATCATTCAACTAAATTAGATGTGTTTTTTCAAGGCTGCGCTGGGGAACCACACGCTAATTATTAATAATTCTATCTATTCCAGTCTATGCATCACGCATCCGATCACCCCCATCAACAGAGCAAATAATGAATAAACAGTCGTATTTGGATTTGTTAGGAACAATGGTTCTAAACTGGGTTTTACACGTTTTCACTTATTAAGTCTGGGGGTTAAGCACAAACTTCACGACCCACAGATAGGATCAGTAAATAAGCGCAATTGAGCTGTTGTAGCCTCTTTCGTCACAGCTAGTATTGAAATCTCTTGTACCTGTGTGCTCCATAAATATTGCTTACTACATTTCAGAATTTCATATCTAATATAAACTTTGAATAGCGCCGTTTGTTAATAATCCTTGCTTAAATACATCTTCACAGTAAAAATATTAGCTTTAATGCGATTAAAATACCTTCGACGTGACCAAAGATATTTAATATGGCCATCAAACTAATTCGCCAATTGTGACTAAAGGATATATGATATCTTTGTGGAATGCAAAATTGTGTATTAACCGGTTTCTGCTTATAACAGTCATAACGGGACCGATCACGCAGACCGTTCTACTAGTAAGTCACTCGCGAGGCTTTTTATGTGTTCAGCCTAGTTACATTGCAAAGCAGCTTTTTTTTAAATTAACACCGCTGAAGACAGTTTTAGTGACCTAAAAATGTAATGATCGGGATGGCATAAAAACCTAAACCCAAGCAGTTTTTTTTTTCAGTCTAATAAAATCAATTCCCGCTTATTCAACTTCCTCTTACATTTTAATTCTAACAATCTTAGAAATGTTAAAGAATGATCACCACATCATATGGTTGTAATTATTACTCGTAAACTCAGACGCACGTACACACACACAAACACATATGGATATATATATATATATATATATATATATATATATATATATATATATATATATACATACGCACACACACATATATATATGTCCAAATACATTTAAAATTTGCTAAAATTACTGTAAGACATACTGATATCCAGTTAGGTTAAGTGGCTTTGTAAATGTATATACGATAGTCTGGTATCCCGTCTAGGCTGTATCCACCTCAGCGACTCTATACTGCGTAACTCTTTGGAAGATTGATAGATGGGTTTGGTGACCAGATAATCTATGTCAGGGAGGAGACTTTGAGCTAGGACAGCATTTGTAAACTACCATTTTAATTAACAGGACCTGGATTTCACTTAAATTCTTGCTGTGTGCTGATTGGTCAGTCTCCTAAAACCATGCACACATGCACTAATGTTACTGTGAAACAGCTGGATGAGTTTTTCAATCAAGGAAACAACGGAACTGAACCATTTAGCCGAGCCCAGGAGCTGTTCAGTTTTAAAGCAGTCTGTAAAAGCTGAAGTAGCTAAAAGTGTCCTCCATGCCAAGGATTACCTGGTCACCATATGGATGGCCGGATCGATTTGGCACGTGGCGTGAACATTGCAGCAAGAAGAGGTTCGAGGTGGACGATCGTCCAAAGCACGTGACCGGCTCCAATAAAGTTCGAACAAGTCATCGCACGCGACAAACTCGCCTTTCAAATCCGGAAAACCCGCCCACGTTTGTCTTTGGCCCGTCGCGCGTCAGGCGCGTTGTGATTGGACGCAGCGGCCTGTCAATAACGCGTCGCTGCCATTCCTTCCGCTCAGCTCGAGCTGAAGAGAAGACTTCGTGCAGATGTGCCTCAGCATGGGCTGTCTGCGCGAACCCTCTCAATCCTAACTTTTATCAACAGGGCGTAATTATACTTCGGCGAAAGAAGACTACTCATAAATGGACAGCGTAATACCATAATTACATTCCGAAGCGATACGTGGTTTAAAGTCATCTTAGAATTCATCTTTTTTGTTTGTTTTTTCTTGTTTTTGAACAAGAGGGAAAATGCCTGTAGCAACTCTATTGCCGTTCACGGCGACTCCGAGTAGGAAGTCTGCCAGCCCGACATCCTTTAGACTCACAGAGAAATTCATTTTACTTTTAGTTTTTAGTGGGTTTATCACTCTCTGTTTCGGGGCAATCTTCTTCTTGCCGGACTCGTCCAAGCTGCTTAGCGGAGTCTTCTTCCACTCGTCCTCCGTGGAAAGCGACACCCGAACGGGCACCGATAGTGACTCCAGCATCGGGATGGTGGACGACAAGATCCTCTCTAAGATACGGAAGGACCACGAGAAGGCACTGATCGAAGCCAAAGAAACGCTGCAGAAACGGCCCGACGAGATAAAGGACGACATTAAAAACGAAAAGGCGAAACTTAGCAAGAATGTCCTGGTGAAAACGGGGAAAGGCGACAGCCTCCCTGTCATCAAATATATACAGCCCCCCGGAGCAACAGGGCACGAGCCTTCGGATCCAGACACCCGAGAGAAAAGGGCGAAGATCAAGGAGGTGAGTTTGGCTTTCCGTAGAAGCGCCACCACTTTGTATTTCCCAGCACTTCTCTGGTACCGGCTGACATCGGTCATCCCTGCAGCGGCCACTTGTGAGGAATAACGAGGCGTATCGTATGAAGTAGCGGGGCAGTCTGGAGATCGGCTGCGAGAACCGACTAGGGCAGCATGCGGCTCCACATCACTGCAGTTGTTACCTCGGAACCACCATCTGCCTTAGGCTTGGCTCATTTTACATACGGTGGTACGGTACCGGGCCGTCTGGCTGCTAGCTTCAGCAAACGGTGCCGTTTTCTTCCGTCCATTGGCAAATTGGCAACGCAGGATAAAGTCTGTCACCTCTGTTCTGCGCACGATCGATCCACTAACCCTGGACCACAACTAAATGTTTAGTTAGCGTGTTTTCAGCTGGTTTTGTAATAGTAGGTGGTTAATCATTTTCTGTACGAGCGTGTCGCTGCTTAGCGCTGCACCGTGATTTCTGAGCAGAAACCCCGAGCTCTGCAGTCTGAGTAAATCGTCCTGTGTTTGTGCAGCGCTTAAACCGACCCCAGTCTCTCACAGGTCGGTGGGACGGTGGCTCTGCCTTCACGAAAAGTTCGCCGGCCGATCTTTCAACCCAAAAGTTCAAGTACGTGAGAAACGTAGTGTGCGAAAATAAGATGTTTTTACTATCGACAAATGGCGATAAAGTGGGGATTGTACAGAAACGCAGCTGAATGGTTGTTAAACTCGATTACATTTGTCCCCCAGCCTTGTTTCTGGACTCTGTGCTATGCAATTAGTCACCGCTTTTCCTACATTAGCAGATTTTAAAATTGAATCGTGTTTTGTCTGACAACTGCAATCGGAATTTGAAAAAACTGTAGCTACATATTATTAAACCGTAACTTGTGCTAAAACTGAATTTATTTCCCTGTAGGATTAGCATATTTTCCTTTTTTATTTGGTAGCTGGCTTGGCTGAAATGGCTTAATGCCCCTTATCCTTTGATTGATATATATGCAATGGCTTAATAAATATATATATATATCTTTAAAGCCCTCGGGTTTTTGTGAAGTCAGTGGAGAAATCAGTTTCATGAAGCCTGCCTGAATTCTAAATTAATTTGTCGCTCTGCTTCAAAAACATTTCTGGAGAGTTAATTTTTGGATTGATTCACTGAAATGACTTTGTTTAGTGTACTGCCACAGGTCGTATTGCCATACTGTTGACTGGCACAGTCAGTACTTGATGAACCAGAAGATTCAGTGGCCCGATACCCAGAATGCTCTGTCCTCTTGCCTCCTAGTTGCCTTGGTCAGTAATGTTGGAGCTGTTTAGTCAGCAACTTCATTTCACTGACCTGAAGTGATGCCTTCACTGGACTCCAAGAGAACTGTGTACTGGTGTACACCCAGAGCAGGTGATTGCTGAATTAAAACCAGTGTTTTAAATCAATATTTCCAAACCTGGTACTTGGGAGCCTACAGTTGGTCTATGTTTTTGCTCCCCCCTCCCCCCCCCAGCTCCCTGCCAGACAGTCCACATTTTTGCTCCCTCTGCTCAAATGTGGACTGTCTGTGGGTCACCGGGGACCAGATTAGGAAACAGCGTTTTAGATGAACCCAAGAAACATTTTAAATTGGTCAGCATACCTGAATGTAGTTGGGTTTTTATGCGTTTTAAGTTTGTGCTGTGATCATGTTCAGGTGCTGTGCCCTTAGATAAGTTAGTGCTGCAGTAATGTATCTTTTTACTAGGCTAGCCCTGTGAGTTGTTAACCTCATAATAGTACATTCAAAGCCCTCTGGTCAGGTTACCTCACTGTGATAGCAGAATAAATAAATTGGCCTAGTTTGCTCTTGTTCAGCCTCATTCTGGGCTGGCATGAAAGAGGGGTGGTGTGTGTACTGCCTTTTTTTTTTTTTTTTTTTTTTTTACTTGACAAGTATACCTGTTAATGAAATAACAATAAAATAGGGTTATTTGGTAAATTTTCCTCTGCATGTGTCTGTTAAGGGCCTTAGTCTAGCAGCAAACCCTTCTTATCTTATCTTATTGAGTCATCAGTCGCTGTTCAGTACGAATGGCCTCCGCAGCATGAGTATAATGGGTAGAGGCTTGAGCTGTGTGGCAGCCTTGCTGGAACGTGCAGCCTGGTGGCAGGCTGGGGACCTGCCCGGGGAAACGCACTCCCCTTCTGCCTGGCAGTGCAGTAGATGGTCGCGGCCACGTCTCTGGTTCGTCTGCTTGGGTATCTTCCACAGCTCAGCAGATTCCTCTCAGGGTCTGTGTAAGCTTCTAATTAGATTCCGACCAGATTAGGGATTTACAGGCATAGAGAAATGATGTATGTATTTATACGTTTATGTTTGTGTGTGTGTACATGCATAGTAAAGGGGAATTTTTAGTTGGGAAACTGGAACAAAAAATTGTCTTAGGGCCTTAAGGGGCAGGCCCTCACTTTCAGTATTCTTTTAATGCTTTCATGCAGGTTCTGAGCTGTTTGTAGTGGGATATTTGCATCGTTCTGCAAGGGCATAAGGCTCCACTAGTTTGATAGATGAAAAGGGTGCTCCCAGACATCTCATAAAAGCTTAGTGGGGTTTAAATATGGTGACTGGAGAAGTAGAAGGTGTTTGATTTCAGCATGGTGTGTATGGTGCCAGTTTGAAGGTTGTTTAGCACAGTGTTAACCAAGCCAGTCCACAGGGACTCTCAGACCTCCTGGTAGCAAAATTAGGAGCCAAAAAGTGGACTGGTTTGGGAAACCCAGGTTTAGCAGGCAGTATGGTAGTGTTATCGCAGGATATGGGACACATCATGAGGGACCAGTGTTTGCATCATAGAATGGATCCTTTGGAAAAACTTCCCATATTCTTTGGACATAGTATGAATATGCCGTGTCATTCAGGCATAATTGCTCACTTCAGGCTACTCGATTGAACGCATCTTTTCACTTTCACCTGTTCAGAAGAGGGAAAAGATGCCTCATCAGACCATATTGATTTTTTTTCCCTCTCTTTGCTTAGGTGTTGTGCTCCTTACACTAGAGTATGGGTCTTTGCGAATTGGCCTTGGATACAGGTGTTTCCAAATTGCAGCCTGCTATATAAATCCTATATCAGTGAGGCTTAGTACCTTCGGTTCTTGTAGAGACTGGGTCACAGAGGTACTGATTTTGTTTCTTTGGTTTTGTGTTTTTTAGTAACTATCCATTGTGGGTCTATCGCTGTTGGTGAGCTTCATCTTGTAACTACTGTTCCTGTTTCCAGATGCAGCTCGTCCTGTTTTGGCGAATGCTGTCAGGATTTTTTCACTGCTTTCTTTGGCACATTAAATACTTCTGCAGTTTTTGTGACCAGCGCACCTGCAATTCAATCACCAGCCTTATGGAACCTAGCTGTTACTAGCTGTTTTACAAATCAAAGTTCAGCTTGTGGAGGCCTCTTTTATAGCTGACACATCCTGCCAGGTGTTGTTCTGCCTGACATAATTCGCCTATGTAGCTGCATTTTTGATCATTATGTAGTCATTGAAAAGTCAAAGTCCTTTTTCATGTGACGTTTGTTACACTGTACATCCCTACATATGTGGCAACATTGTCCTTTTTATCGAGGCATGCAGTCTTCGTTTTCTGAGATCCTTTCAAACGAGCCTCACTCAGTATGGATCCTTTACAGAAGCTTTCGTCAGATGGCTTTTTGAATCAGCACTTTAGAAATGTGAGTAATCGATGTTGTTTTTCCAGGTGCATGAGTAGAAACGTGATCTGGCCCGGCCTCTTCTGCAATATTTCATTTTGCCTAAACCTGTTATCGTAAAGGTGGACTGAGGACTGCTGGTTTGCACGTCTTAATCGAGCTGTTTTTAATAACGCAATTCTCCATTAATCGCCCACTGAGCGCCATCACACTGGCAATTAAAGCTCACATCTTCAAATTCCACTGCGGTGGCGGTTGGCCAGCCTCATCGTGCACGTGACAAGCTTTCTCCTGTAAGTGTGTAGCTGTCACAAGTACATGCGACGTGTCCGTTCGTGCCCTACATCCTGCCCCATGCCTCGAAGCACAGGCCTCTTTAGCCTCCCAGAAATTCAGGGACTGCGGGTACTTCACCGGTCCTTGCCGTTCAGTCATTCTCGGTATGTACTAACTGGTTTCTTGCAGTTTACAATGCAGCTGTTTCATTTTGTTTCTTTATTCGCATATTCATTTACTGTAACAGACGTGATCACTTGAGAGCACAGCACAAGTGCATATACACCCTCCCAACATCTCCGTTTTTTTTATGCTCTCATTATCGGGATTTAAATAAGCTTTTAATCAATTTAATCTGCGAGCTTGCGTACGAGTGACTGTTGCTCTCCTCCGCTGTCTTTTGTGGCTCTAATGGATTCGTGGGAAGGTGTGGAGGCTCTTCACAGACCGGTGTAGCATGTCCTGCCTGCAGGGAGGAGAGGGGGTGCGGTCTGGCCTTTTCTCACGCCAGCTCTCGCGTCTCGACGCCCTCCTGGAACGACAGTGCGTAGGTCTTATGTGAGTCTGAGCGTTGTCAGGGCGTTAAGTTCTCCTCAAGTTTCTGCCGGTGGAACAGAAATGTGCGGGGAGGGGGGGCATGCTGGAATCCTAGCGCAAATGCAGCACTGCTGTGGCTTTTTCTTTCACACTTTTTGACATTTAGGCATCTCAGTATGCGGAGCATTCAAACAAGAAAAGGCAGGAAAAGACACTTGCTTTTCACGAAGCTTCAAGAGCGTTTATCCCAAACTTAAGAGCTAAAGGAAACTGGGGATTTAGCACAGGAGGTGTGTCCTGCATTTCCTGAGCGGCAGTCAGTAATTAAGCGGCACCTCTGTCTGTTTGGGCCGCGCCCCAAAAAACCCCCCTCCCTCCGCTTCCTGGACACCTCAGGAAGCACAAGACAGCTTCTTAATGAGGTTTCTGCGCTTGTTTGTTTACCTCCTGAAGCCGTAGGGCCTCGTGACCTTTCTCTTCCTTTCAGTCGCGTCTGACG